AGGAAAGGGGGAGGTGAAGGTTGTTGTCATCTACGAGATCTGCAGAACCATTGCACGGTGAACCAAGGAAAGCCATTCACTGGTTCAGTTAGCGTTATGTGTTCACTAATTAATGTTGATGTTAGCACAGCGATTCTTCGATTCCGCGTCCTTCCTGCCCTAACCTACGCGTTATCCAACGCGCTGTCGAGAGGACGATGCTAGGAGTAACCCTATACACGCAAGTGCAGAGGGGAATCCGGAGTTCCGAACTACGCCAACGATCGAAGATCAGGGACGCTGCCGTTTTCGCCAAGGAATCGAAGATAAGGTGGGCCGGACACGTCATGCGATTTTGCGATGACCGTTGGACCAGAGCGGTTACCGACTGGATCCCTCGGGACGTCAAACGAACACCTGGACGACCGCCGGCCCGATGGTCAGACTTCTTCACGAAAGCTCTGAACGAAAGGAATGAAGGACTTCGTGTCCCTCGAGCGAGGAGGATCCACTGGACAACTCTTGCACGCGACAGGGACGAATGGAGACGTTGCTGGCGCCCGCTCGAGCAATTCGATGATCAACGGGACGACAGGTGATACAGGTGAATTGATCGATCTGATAATTTGGGTCTCAAAAATCTCGCTGAGTCCCAAGGATCTAAAAAAGAGCGGATAGCTTCGCTGGCCTGATGCCAAGGCAAGAGGAACGGAACAGAATGTGTTGCGCGGACGAGTTGTCCGGCCACAGCAGGATGTGGTAATTACGGCCTGTGCGCTCCAATGCCAATGGGATCGCGCCATATGACGCGCACCCGTTCTCGAAGTAGGAACGCCATTGCTTCTATGTGTTTCTTGCGGTCCGTCAAGAGGTGACCATTCTCGTCATTTATGCCGAAGAACTTTTCTATATCCTCGGTCTGGCGATGGCGGGTCTTTGCGAGTCGGTAAACGTACCGCTCTCCATCGCGCGACTCGAGTTTCTCGCTGATATCAGCAAAATGAGCTGCTTTCGCAGAAGCAACGGCCTTCTTTGCCTCTTTCTTCGCTATCTGATAGCTCCGCCAGTTGTCTTTTCGTGAAGAAATGCGTGGTACCGCTTCTTCTTTTCGCGCACTTTCTCTCTGACCTGGTCCGTCCACAGCCACGTTTGCTTGTCAATTCTCCGCCGTCCAGGCTTCGTCATGCCGAGCTCGGATCGAGCTATCCGAGTTATTTCTTCGGCAGCACCTTTCCAAGTTTCGTCGACAGTCGTTACCGCTGGTAATCGAATGCGGGAAACGACGGCCGCTTCTTTTTCCTTCAGTCGCCACCACTTGATTCTCGCTGGCCCACACCTTTCGGTTAGTTTCGGTTTCGGCGGGGCGATCTTTAGCGTACAAATCAGTGGTCGGTGTTGCGTGACGACCGTTTCATAAGGCACTGTTTTCGCGTCTGTTACGAGCCCTTGATCGCGGCGCCTGACAAGTACGAAATCAATTTGTGTTCTGGTTTTACCGCTATAGAAGATCAGAAGATTTCACTCCCTAATCACGAAAATAACACTTACCACTCTGGCACGTTTAATATCATACCAGTGTAATATCAACTGGCACGTGTAATACGGGCGCCATGAGCTATCATGCGGGAACAGTCACTAAACTTGGCAGCAACTGCTCGCAAATTTTTCGTACAGGTGATTTCAAGCAGACGTTGATGAGGAAACGCTGTTCGAGGTACCTATAGCGCCGACGAAAGCAAAACACAGACACGAGAGGGGATCGATCTCGCGACGTCTCCTGGAGCTGCGAACCACTAGAGCTGTGCTATTGGCTTCATAATTCTGTTAAAAAACCTTTCTGCAGGTTTGGCGGATAGTTTGAAATCAGCGCTCGAAAGCACATGTCGCGATGAACTTTTTGAATAGCCATCGAATCGTCTTCTGAGTGCATCATCACTGCGTCTCCTTTTTCTCCACGTCGTTGGCTTACCATACTTTGTGACTCTTCCGTCTGGGCTCCTGCCTAATGCCTCAATCGAATCTGCTAGACTTTAATTCATTTTCGTCAACTTTTGAGTACCGGCCTTCGTTTTTACGTAACTCAGCGCCAACCCATACTCGTGTTTAAAAATCAAGGGCGGAAGTAATTTTCGCATGATCACTGCAAAGCCTAACTCAGCTCGAATGGAATGGGAGCATGATTCCGTAATCCTTTTTGTACGCCTAACAAAGTCTAGTCAGAATGTGCAATGTAACACACGAATGGACTTCTCTCTGACACACTATCGGAACTATAGGCTACCCGATATCTATGTCGCTTCTGCATCGCGCCAAACTCTTCGAATCCAACATACGTTGCGAAATCATATGAGTTGATCACCTTTGTTGATTATTACTGCTGTAACTTGATTATATATTTTCCCTTATCGGCTTTTCTTTCTCTTCGCTTCGTTCTAGATTTTCTTTTAGATATGCCTAGTCCATCGTTCAAATCCGCACTGTTTGCATATCCTCACAATCGGGCTTAACTGCTTCCGAAATCCGTCAATCGAATAATTCCTCATTCGCAAAGGAACTATCAGATTCGGTTGACGCACAGCATGTTCAGAAGTTCACCAGCCAATAGAATCGAAGATGAGACCTGAAAAAAGGACCAGCCGCCCTCCTTGAAAAGAAACATCTGATCAAACTATGAAGCGTTTTCTGCCCTCAAACATGTGCTGACAGCAGAGCACTCCATGCGATGAATCAACATGTGCCCAAAACACCCTCCAAACATTAGACTACTCGAAAAATTGACAAGTGGATTCCTCATGTGCTTACGCCAGCCAACAAGATGGCGCGCTTCAACATCTGTTCAATTTTGCTTCGACGTCACATGGAGGTGTCTTTTTGGAAACGGATCATCACATGTGATGAAAAGTGGATCCTCCACGATAATCATCGCCGATCTTCATCGTGGTGGTCAAGAAGGGTTCTCAGCCAGGAGTGGCTCCCAAACAAGATCTACACCCCAGCGAGACCTTAATTACTGTTTGGTGGAATTATAAAGGAATCATCTACGTAGACTACTTACCACTCTACCCGCATCCATTGTGCGGCCCGGGTACTATTGCCGAACTGATATGGTCCATCCATCCAAACGCAAGAGCTGAGAGGACCGGCTTGAATCATAAAAAGGAGGTGTCAACCTACTCTCACGATAACGCCAACCATACAGCAAAAAAAGACACAGGAAAAAATTGCACAGCTAGGCTGGGAAGTTCTACCTCACCCTCCTTACAGCCCAGACCTAAGCCAACCGATTATCACCTTTTCTTGTCCATGTCTAATTTCCTAGCTAATAAGAAGTATCGTTCTCAGATGATGTAAAATCGGACATGTCCCAGTTTTTGGCTTCTAAAATCTGATTATCTGACATGTATAATTCCTCATTCTCACAGTAATGCAACGTGTAGTTGATCATCGTGATATATATTGTTTATCCCTACTTCTGATACAAAAAATCAAATGATCAAGCAGGTGAAAAAGCGGACACATAAATATCCGGTACGACTCAGTAATCTTTAATGGCAAAGTGTGCCAATCCATGTATCCTTGTAAAAGGGCAACATTGGTTCTTAAGGCCTATCACTACGTACTGCATTGATCTTCTTCTCGTGCTTCCTTAGTGACCGCAAGGTTGTTGACCAGTTCTTGTGGGGGAGTGTTCCATCATCTTGAACACTGCGATTGACAGATGCTGGACAGTTATTGACGCATGTGGAGTGCTGCACACGACTTTCCCAGATGCATCCCACATGTGCTCAATAGGATATGCAAATGGGGGAGGCGGGCAGGCCTAACCAATCGCCGAACATTCTCTCGCTCCGAGAATTCTCCATCTGGGCTATTCGGTGCGCTCGCACCTTGCTCTCCATGCGAAAAAGTAGAGCCAAACGCTATCGAAAATAAGCACAAGTAGGACTGCACAGCCCGAAAACGTGATCGGAGGCAAAACGTTGACGTTTCCACTGATGTGATGCAAACCAACGTGGCCCGTTTTCCTCTTCTACTCCAAATCACCTGACGACCAAAACATCATGTTTGACAGTGGTCCTGGGTGCATCGTGTTCCTACTTCTCGTCATATGAGGGTAAGTCTGGAGCTCTCTACTCACACACAATATGGTTTCAAGGGAGAGAAGCACGCGATCCTCTTAAGTGCTGGTCCATTTCCAATGACTTGGCACCTAGCAGTTGCTCTCCGCCGAATTATCACCAGATGTATTGGTCGAGCAGGCAGACCATCACTATGAGGTCGCCGTGCCAACGCAAAGGGTAGGATTACGTGGGTTATAATCCTGAAGAAAAATTTTGCAACTATAGCTGACAACGAAGTGTGCCAATTCTTGCCTATTGCAAAGCGAAGCAATCACCTGCGTTGCGGTTGGTCGTGGTCCAGCACCTACGCTTTCCCAGGCAGGAGAGGCTGTGTGGTCCATCGCTCTTTATAACTTAAAACATTGCTCTGAGCATTGATACACTCCTGGACTACAATCATAACGCATGTTTATCCCACTTCCTCGTGAATGTCACCCGTCTTGGAGGCTTGCTATAATAAAGAATACCATTACCTGCTAATTAGAACTACTAAAAGCAGCGAGCAGCCTTCAGACACTCGATGCAGTGTGAGTAGACGCGCTTCGTCCTCGATGTTTAACATGTCGAGCGGATCGCGAAACCATTCTAAAGTTCGAAACCTACGCGAAGGATTTCAAGACGTATGGTATATTCAGCGCTATGCCTCTCGACACTTGATGTGATAGGCAGCGATTTCCATATGTCGCGGATTCGGAGGATAGCTGTTTTAGGAATTAGTTTCTTTAAACGGATCATGTCTTTTGTTTGGATATCCTGGACTATGACGCATCTAGTTAATAGGCTGGTTGGCGTGCTAAACTACAAGAAAGATTTTCAAACATTTTTTTTGTCGTTGTATAGGATCAGTTTCATATTGTCGACGCTTGTCCGAAAACTGTACTAAATGAAGTGGTTTTATAGCAACCACGTTATACACCGAAGCAGTACAATCAAATACTCAAAGGTTTTTTGAACTCATGGGTACTGTCAAGCTTTCAGTATTGGACTATATGTTCAGACCATGTCGCCACTCGTATGGATAATTCATTGCTCGTCACTACCAGGAAGTTTTTAGAACTGAAGAATTTTGATGAAGTAAGACTCAACTTCGACATTTTCATGGTCTCCTGCAAATTCAATCTTGTACTTTTTAGAGTGTGAATCTAAACGACGCAGCAGAAGCTCTTAATGTTCCAAAACGTCGTCTCTATGATATAACCAACGTACTCGAGGGTATCGATTTGGTTGAGAAGATTGGAAAGAATAGTATTAGGTGGAAGTAAGTGACTATCGTATCTATCGGACTCATAATTGTTTTAAGTCTTATAAAGTTCAAACGGCAGGCCGATAACGGCTCAGCATGCTGTGGGGATAAAAGTAGTCACGCGTTTCAGATGTGTTGGACAAGATGAAATGTCAATATACTAGGTAATGGGAAAGGCGAACACAAGACAGATTTCGCAGTCTGTTGAATTAGTGTGACCGTGATCTGCGCTGGTGCAAGCAGCTAGGTTAGAGCGGAGTGATCAAGTCCTTTGGGCGTAACGAGTGTAGCGAGTTGGTGTGAAGACAGCGATTACTGCAAGGATCCGTGTAGGACGATCTGTAAAAGTTCGCTGATCCGGGTGGTCAATGCTGTGCGGGTTTCTCCGTCTGTTTGGAGACGATTTAGTGATTTTTAGAAAACCTCATAAAACCGCTCGTGAATTGAAAATGGCCCCAACTATTGTCAGCTTGATCTACCGAGCAAGCCACCATTCTCTCGCGGAGCCTTTATTCGCGAATGATTGCTCCATTATCAAGATTGCTGCAATTTTTTACGGTCGAGAAACACCGTCACTAGGAACTTCAAGATTCCCAACAAATGTATGTAACATCGAAAAAACGAAAACAAACTTTTCAGGCCTCACAAACAAGGTGTATTAGCTCTCTCGAAAAGTTCTGTCGTTTTTCGACCTCAAATTTCAAGTCCGTGTATCTCGGCTTAAACCGAACCTTTCACGGTAAATCAAAAATCGTTGTAATGTGCAAACCCCTGTACTATGATGCGAATGGGTCCGTCTCTTCAGGATGCTGGAGCTCCGGAGGCGATGGACTTAGGAAAGTTCGTTTCTGCATTGTTTTGGGTTTCAACGCTTTCTCTTCAAGAAGCCATGGAGGTCCCCGAAAAGAAAGACAGGGATAGGTTAGAGGTCTAATGAGTAAGATGTTCGCGGCATCCTTCCATAGCTTGGCAGGTCCAACTTGTGCAAGATTGGTTCTACGATGTGCGTCCAAGACACCTGTCAGGATGTGTCTGTCCCTTTATAATGAGGAATGCTACACTCATATCTTGGAGTTTTTGTGTATTCTCATTCGTTGAGGGTACTTCCCCACTTAACACCTCTGGTACCGGTGAGTTATGCCAGCCGCTGACCTCATGAAAGTCGCCATAACCTTTCCTTTAGCGCATTGCATTTTTGTAGAGCTTGGGAAAGAATGAAAGAAGTGGGAAAGTCCTTTTTTTTCATTGTACGTCGCAGATCAGTAGAAAAGCGAGTCGCTTTCATCACATAAAACAAGCTAGAATTGATGGACGACCCTTCAAATTGGTGATTTGTCGCGGCACGCCCCTATCAAATTTTTTGGACTTTCCAGCTACTTCCGTATAGCTTGGCTCCACAAACCATATACGCCCAGGTTGGGCAGAACCTCCTCATGGTCCTGTGCACGAGTGCTAATCAGAACTTTTGGCTAATCGGTGGCAACGTCCGATATCCGACCACCCCTCATCATCTAAGGCTCTCGCTTTCGTTTACAATAGCTTTTTGAACTACTGCTTAAAGCATATTTATTGCGAATCTAAGCCAAGTGCATCGTTAGTATCTTGACCTGCTTCCGTTTTTTTCCAGGTTCACTTTGAACTTGAAAAAGAAAACCATGCCAACCTGCCTATTGAACATGCCGTATTCAAGGCGATGAAAAGGTATAAGAAAACGATATAGGACAAAGAAGGTATATAAAGCCAGAAAAGCTCTTTGAAACAGTATCTTGAAGCTGGAGCGATAGCTGCTTGCTTGGAATTACGACAAAATAAAACATTCAAAAGTGAAGGTCGCAAACGACAGAACTTCTCGAAAAGCCTGATACTATTGTAGCCGTCTTCAGTTGACAAATTCATGTAGAAACATGGGAGGGTTTGGTAAACTAGCAGCCTGAGAGTGCGGGCTTTTGCAGATGTTTCAATAATGAGATCGCGTTGAACCAAGCATCATGAACGGTGGAGTAAGGTAGCTTTGACGGATGTTCCATCATTTTGCAGCGCGCTGTACATCAATTGCACTGCAAAGGCTATTTGATTTGCTATACATGATCGAATGCTTTCATAGAGTACCGCCTATTACATTTTTTTCGCAGAACGAATGACGGTGATGCTATGTTACTGAAAAGGCTTCAATTTGACTGTAACTCTCTTCGTTGTGAAGAGGTCGAGCTCGATTCGGTGCTTCTTGATCTCACATCAGCACTCAAGTTGGTGAAGGAAGACCCCACCTACAAACCGTACGGGTGAGTCTTCTGGAAAACTCAATAGTCAAGCTGGATCCACCACCGCTAAAAGTTGAAAGTGCTTTGCTGTGTACACTAGTGCTAGACTCATCAGGCGAATGCTTGTCTGCTGTAACTTTTCTTTAGCCATATCAGACTCGCTCAAATTGAATTATGTTTTGGAGGTAAGCTTCTCTCAGTGGATCAATATGCTCTTGTTTGAAGGGATAAGACGTAAAGAATGACAAAAATTATCTTGCTAGAAGTTCCCGAGAAAAAAAGTTCCAGATAAATTACAAATTGTTGAAAGAAACCTACAACGGAACGGACCAATCTTCTGCATGATAAGTATTGGGTTGTCTTATAATTCCTGTCGCATTTCTATTCAATTTCAAATTCCTTCCGTCTAAGACCGTTTCATTGCGAAATACGTTAGTATGTTGAAGTATGCTTCAAGTGCCTTAACAGCGTGGTTTCGGAAGCGCAAGCCCTTAACGGGTATCTGCCAGAGAAGAAAGTTAAAGATTGCGGTCACCCCAAAAACGACTTCTCCAAATTCTTCAACCCCCAGCTTCCTTCATTCTGGGCTGGAAGCTTCCAAACGCTCACTAGCAAATGCACGCATATCAGTGACCATGATGGTGGTTATGCTATTAGATCAGTTGTTTCCCAGAAGAGATAAAACTTGAATAAACAAAAGTGTCGAAATTGCGACAGGAATTATGAGACAACCCAATATTATCAAGCAGACCGGTACTCTGTTGATAAATTCCTTTTCTATAGTCGCTCAACAGCTCCTAACTTGGGAATCACTTAATGAGTTCAATCTCTATTAGGGCAGCTTCTTACACCTTTTACGGATTTTACGAATTCTGTGTCCATTTCCCTGGCTTTTTTTCTGCAGAGGGTTCCGTACCCTTTCCTATAGTGTTTCGATGAAGCTCGAGATGTGCAACGAAGTTGTCCCTCCGTTAAAGACACGCCACGTCGGCGAGAGCGCTCTTGCACAGTTGAGGTGCGATGCTTTGCATCGTTGTATTGCTAAAAGACGAAGTCAGCTCGGTGAAAATGCCATACACGTGAATACGCAACACGTGAGAACTATCTGTGCACGTTCCCCTCCACCATTTCTCCAATACTGTGCTGTGGTTCTACCTCTTTTACGGAACACCATAACCACCTCCTCCTCGCTCCACGGATAGCAGCTGATACTTAGGATCCAAACCTTTTCCGGCAGGACGCCTCACATGCGTTGTGCTTCGGTCTCCATACATCCTGAATTTACTTTCATCGCGCTCCAGATAAGCTTGGAGCCCTGTGGGGATCTCCAGTTCAGGTGTGCGCAGATCTTCACATTCCCTGTCCTTTGCTGTCAGACGCTTTACAGATTTTCAGTAGTTATGAAGGCTGACGTTGACTTCGTCCTCTAGCACTATAGTGATACAGCATCGCACCTCAATTGTGTACGAGTGCTGTCGACAGCATGGCACAACGTAGAGATATCCTGCATATCGCATTCCCTAGCGTTATCGAGACAACGGTAGAGAAAGTTTTGTCACAACAAAAGTGCTACGAATATGGTTGGGAATTTCAAATATGAAGAGAATTCCCAAAAGATGTGCATTGATTGACTGATTCCACACTTAAAGGCACGAGTCGGGATTGAATGGATGCTTTATTTTGGTGCTGTAGTGTGTGAAAATAAAACAGGCACAATACAAATAGAAGAG